CGCACAATTAACAAGTGTCATACTCAAATATATAATAATATATATTATTTTATAATAAATATTTGAATTTTCAACTACCTTTTCTCATTAATTTTAAATGTTAAGAAAAAAATTTAGCAAGCAACCGTGTAATACAGGGGCATTGTACTAGTATATTATTGAAGTTGAAAAAAAAATAAGGAACAATATATAACAATTTATAATAATGAACTGAGTGAATTAATAATATTATTTTAAATCTTAAAAACTAATTTATATACACCATTAATTTTACTTATAATATTTATATTTTAAACACGTAAGGAATAATATGAACAAAGCACCAGTTTCGGAAAGTAAAATTATATGCAAATTGTAGAAGAAGATAATAAATAGATTTATATGGAATAGTTTAAATATGTTAAATATGTGTAGATATATGATAATCCAAACCTAAACTATTTGGTATAAAAAATTTAATAATTTATATCCGAGCCATATGACAAACCATAATACTTTTCCACATAAGATTACGAAACATGCGAAACTGTCAAATAAGTTTAGCGCATTGTGAAATCATATAATAAGAGGGATAAAGTCCTTGTTCACATGATAATTTTCTCTTAAACTCTCCTTAATCTTAGGGGATTCCCCTAAACCCGTTGGATCTCAACGATCAAGATGATCCAACAATTAGATTTTAAAAACTGAACGTTGGAGGTCGGTTCAAATTTGGAATTGGACCTAGATCCGGACCCAAAACTGAATAAATAATAAAAAAAATATGATCGTAAGATATCCAACAATAAAAAATATTCACCTAAATTTAATCTGTGCCAATATAGGCCCAAAATTATTCAAAAAAGGGGGAAAAAATGTCAGGCTTCCACGGCGTTCCCGACCAGGCCTAAACCGGCTCGACGGTAAACTGAAATGTATATTTGATACGAAGTGCACTTTAACACGTACGAAACTTCAATAAGAATTGTAAAATGCTGAAGCTATAAACCGAAGATTAAAAACTCTTCAAGGAAGTATTTCACTTCCCCTCAGAGCTCTTTCATTTACAAATCGTATAATGACATAGTTTGGACTTACAAGACTCGAACTCCCTTCTAGTCTAGCCAACACTATTGACGATCCTATCAACTATTTCTCCGACCACGTCTCGTGGACTTTTTAACCTACACTTACTCCCTAAGTGTAACACAAAAGATAGTTTGAGAAAAAGGAAGAAAACAAACTAAAACAGCTTCAGTTCTTGAGTGCGTAAGAACTCTCAAACTGAACTGTGTACAAAACTGAACAGAATAAAATATCAAGCTCGAATATTGCTCTAAAGATTTTCTTTCTTCTCAGCAGCCGCAATAAGAGCTTCTCCTAGGGTATATATACAATCTCCTTAGGTTTGTAGTCTTCAACGTGGCATAGGACTCCTTGTGATTTCCTTTCCATCTTTATAGCATAAGTTTGGTAAGATAATCCTCTTTTCTCTCTCCATGATCTCCTTTTCATGCAAATTTCTTCTTTCCTTAATTCACACAAATCCGATTTCCTGCAATATAGAATACCATAATAAGATCTACACAATCTTATATATGGAATACAAAATAAACTCAAGTAAGAAAATAAAATAATTAAAGATCTTCCCTTTTTCTGTAGTTCCAGGTGCTTGTTCGAACCATCGAACTAACATCAAACAATTATATCTTGGGAAAATTTTATGCATACTACAAGAAAATAAAGTATTTTTAAATTTACCTTCATACAACAAATAATTTGGTATTTATCTAATAAACCAACTTTAATTACTTGATTGCCCAAAAATAACTTCCCTCCATCCAAGATGTGGGTTGCGTGATTTGTGCATGGTTACCAAGAAAAAAAAAAAATACATCCCTCTTTTTATGAGATTGATTAGGAGAGAGAAATGAAAATATGCTTATAATAACTCATTTAGTTTCTTAATTCGCACATATTGTATATTTTTAATAGAGTATATATTCAATATATGTTGCGTTTATACGAGTATATATTCAGTATATGTTGCAATGAAAAACATGTATTCCATCAAAAAATTATGTCTTTTTTTACTTACTTATATACATAAAAGTATATATAGTTTATAAACATATTATAACATGTTATTTGTATTTCATATACCAAAAAATCTTCTAATATATTGAACATATAATCTCTATACACACAACATATACCGAACAACTTATAAAAAAATCTTCTAATATATTGAACATATACTCAGGTAGTATATATAGCGTTTATGTTAGTATATATTCAGTATATGTTGCAATAAAAAAATTGTCTTCCTTCAAAAAATTATGTGTTCCTTTTTTTTTTTTACTTTTATAAATAAAAGTATACATATAGTTTATAAACATATTATAACATATTACTTATATTTCTTATACAAATAAATCTTCTAAATATACAGAACATATACTAAACATATACTTCATATACACCCAACATATACCCGCAATGTAATCCCGAACTACTATATGTTGAGTTTATACGTGGTATATTAAGAGAATATTTCATTGAAGACAAAACTAACAAATGAACAATTTGTTTTTTTTTTTTGTATATTAGGAGATTATTGCAACATATACTAAATATATACTAAAT